GGGTGGGAGTACAGGTGAAGGGAAGGGCAATGAGCGCAGTGCTGTTAGTGCCATACAGACAAGTTTACAGGGTAGTTTCAGATTAAAGAAAGGTTTGTGAGGCAACAGCTCAAGGGTTGTGGTCTACCACTAGGGACAGAGGAGGCAATGCATTGAGACTGCAGCATGAGGAGGTTGACTGCAAATGTCATCACTAGGTATTGGCACATCTGCTTGGGTTCAAATCGGTCAAGGATTCAGTAAATCCTGCTTGAAATTTGACAACCCAAATATAACGGCGAATCCCGTTATTACATTCAAGCTATTTTTACAGCTAATAGGCAAGGCACTGTCAACAAAGGCACAGATGGACACTGCCATGGGGGATAACTATTAATGGAAAATAATAAGGGAAAAATACTGTATAGTGGGGCAGAGGGTTTTTCATGAGGCTTGGAGGGCAATATTAAAAATACACAAACCCTTTTAATAATATGTTTGGGGGATGCCTTAAAGCTGCACATGATCTTATGGAACAGTGTGATTTTCGGCTTCCGCAGCATGTGTATCTATCCCTCAGGAGCAAGTCCCCAGCACATGTGAAGTGATGGCACCCTCAGTGCCCAAAGCATGTACATTACCCAGTAAGCATTTACTCTCCAGTGCATGTGCAATAATCCCTCACATTTCACATTAATTTGCCACCCCAAATATCAGCTTCATCTCCACTTACCCTGGCCAAAACATTCCCTGGCAACATAGCTCTGGCCCACCTCCTGTGTACCATCTCAACTGTTTCTGGGCTCCATGACACAGTTCTTCCTAATGGCCTTCTTTCATTTTGGTTTCTGCTTTTCTACTATTCAATCCATTGTCCCTCATTTCACTGACACACTCCTCCTGTTTCAATTTCAGGATCCTACCCACCAACCTCACAATCCACAGTACTGCTAACATGCTCACCACCATCATAGTTACCAATTATCCCGGATTTGCTGGGACAGTGCCTCTTTCTGTGAACCTGTCCCACTCATTCCACATCCCAAACTTTGTCCCCCTGTGGGAATCAGGTTGACAGAAGGTTGGCAACTAGAAACATCTGACAGCATTATTATCAGTGAGTTCTGGGAGTGATGCTGCTTCAGAGACACAGAGCTGACACCATGACCCCCTTTATCATCCACTGCCTCTTCAGCAGCTTGCTGCCATGGCAACGCGAGCAAAGGGCGACCACAGCCTACTTTGCCCACAGCTGCTTCTGCCAGGTGAGGACTGCCAGGCTGTGCCCAGCTACAGGGGGTGGAGGGGGCAGTGGCCTATCCAGGGTCGCTGCGGCCGGTCTTGACATGTAAATTTCAATTATATGTACAGCTACCCCGAAAACAAGACCTAGAGCTATCTTCAGGGATTTCTGTAATATAGGATCTACCACCGAACTAGGTCTTATTTTCGGGGTATGTCTTATATTACAGAAATCCCCGAAGATGGCGCTAGGTCTTACTTTCGGGGAAACACAGTAGTACCTACTATCACAGCCTCTCTATTTCTCTCCTGCACATATAGGCCACTGTCATGTCCTTTGCTCTTCTTGCCTGCATATCATACCCTCAACACACCTCTCCTGCAAACCAGCGTTGTGTAACTCCATCGCTTTTCCTTTGCTGGCATGAGATTCTACATTTCAACTAGCAAGAAAGTGACCTCATAAGAGGAGATAAGAGCTATCTTCAGCGATCCTGTTGCTGGCAGCGACAGGATAGCTAGTAACATTTTGGCAACACAGAATTGCCCAATACAAGTTTTCTGGCAAGATCAACAAGTAATGGGATTATTTTACAAGGAAAATCATAAGAAAATCAAAACTGCTGAAATGAATGTTAAGAGTTGCATCTTATGTCATAATAGTCCCATGTGTATGGCCAGCTTTAGAGTTTTTGGTGGAAGAGACATGCATAGTCTCTTCTTCCAAGAAACCTTTTTGCCTGGATCCTACCAGTTTTTTTTAGTGTCTATGTATACTACATGGCACATGTAAGCTTCAGAGAATGAAGTCTGGTGCTGGGGATGATGTCATCATCAGTGGCTGCCCATTGGCTAAGGAGAAGTGTTGCAAGATTTGGAAACAGCGATGGAGGAGATCGCAAGAAGTGCGAGGATAGAGTTGTGACCGGGGCTGGATCTGTCCTCATTGGGGAGAACTATGCGAGGTAAGTTTGCCATCAAGTGCAACTACGTTGTGCTCCTTCTTCCACACAGTTCATTTTAGTTCCACTTTAATATCATATTAACCTCCCTGGCGGTCTGATTATCTCAATAATTTTTTTCTTTTAAATTTCCCGCCGGACCACCCCCCTGAGACGCGGCTGCCCGCAAGGGACGGAACCCGGATGCTGCCATCGGCCGGCTGACAGAGCGAGGCTCGTAGGGAGAAGGTAAGACGCTACAGTGTAATCCCGAGTGTGGCTCGGGGTTACCGCTTTTGGTACTGAAAATTGACCCCGAGCCACACTCGGGATTACCACCAGGAAGGTTAAACAGGAATTAGGGATTGCTTTGTTTTCTTAACTGCTGCCATTTACATTATTATCCCATTGTTTACAATCCATCAGAGAATACCACAAAACATATTGAAGAAAGCCTCTTTGAGAAAAATACTTGTGTGTGCTTTTCATTTGTGTATTTTGTTCTGTGTACCATTGGGAAGATTTTCATCACTTCCTGTCCCCAACATGCAACAGGAAGAGGAAATCTCCCAAGGAGAGAGGAATTATCCCTTTTAGACAATTGTTTCTGGAACAGGAGTCCTTATTGGAAGACTTCCTCTCACCTCTTGTTCAGGGGACAACACTAACAGGGTTATTCACAAAAGGGTGTAGAGTTTGGAGAAGTGAACAATCTAGGACAACATAGGTGAACTGGAAAGTGAGCTGAATTGGAGACTTGTTCCAAATCAGCTATTTCGGTCTAGATTGTTCACGTCTCCTGCCTTCTCCAAACTCTTCACATTTTTGTGAATAACCCTGTAAGTTATTTGCACATTTTGACTTGCATGAGAACGCGCACTTTGACTGGCGGCTTAAGAAACATTGCGGGCAATGGACGAATGCTTGTACAAACGCACACAAAAATATGCAACATGCTTCTGCCATGCGTTTGAGCGTTTCCATTGACGTTTATGGGGCAAAAACATGACGTTAACTGCCCAAAGAAGCTCATGTACCTTTTTGGGTGTTTGGCGGTTTCCTGCTGAGGTGTGAACAGGGGCCATTGAAAATAATGGGATTTCTTGTGTTGGGCATTTAGTAGCGCTTTTCCAACTGCCCATAAACTCCTAGGTGTGAACCAGACCTTAAACTATGAATTACTCCTCAATTTCTTTTTAGTGTCAATGATCACCAATAAAAATAAAGTGTACAATGTAGCCAAAAGGAGGCCACTGACAGCAATAAAAACAAAGAACTCCGGGGATTTAAAAAAAAAAAAACTTTTGCAGTGGGGCTACCTCTGCACTGCAAGGGTTAAGTGCTTGTTTTGGTCTAGGGAGGAAAATAAAGTTATATTCACCAGATCCTCAGAGGTGGCTTGCTCTTAGACCCTAGAACTTCTCTCCCCCTCCACTGCAGTGGTCTATGGTCCCCGAGTCATCATGTTCTATACACATTATAAAGGATGGGAGAATGCCAAATGACATACCATTGCTGCAGTGGAGGAGACAGGCTGGAGGGAGAGCAGTCACAGCTGGCCAGCTCTGAGGTTCAGGCGAGTATAACTTTATTTTCCTCCATAGACCAAAACAAGCACTTAACCCTTGCAGTGCAGCCCCACTGCAAGGGTTAATGAAACATTTCACCAGAGTTCTGATTTCACATGGGGACTGACCCTTCCCTGCTCTGTCCAAAGCAAACATAAATAAATGTTTTGCCTAGAGATACCAGCTCTAACCCTGGGCAGTAGTAACTATTGAGCCCATGATCACATTTGTCTGCTGTGGCAATGTGCATGAAGATGCTTGTTTTTGTTGCCGCATGTGAAAACACATGTCCTTTTGTAAAACACACTGCAGTGCCATTCATTCGTAATGCCACCGCAAGGCATCGTATGCTTTCACGTTTGTGAAGTCATACCAAAACGCATGGTTACAAAGTACCTTACATGTTGTTGCAGCACGTTTAGAAAAAAAATGGGTGCAGGGACTTGGTGTGATTGCCAGGCATATGGCAGCCCATTCATTTGCGATGCACGCACCGGCCCCAGTGTGAACGGGTGATAACAGGACCTCTTTTTCAACACAAACTCTCCCTGACATCATCCCTTGTTTCCTTATACATACCCAGAGCCGTAGCTAGCTCCTTTTGCACCCGAGGCCAGAACAGAAAATTGTGCCCCCCTAACAGGCGTGTGATGTCACCCAATGACACATGCGCGGCATCATGTGATGTCATGCACCCCTGCCCCAGGCAGGGGAGAGCAGCAGGGATCCGAGGAGAAGCTGAAGCCTTTGCCTCCCCTCTTCTCCCTGCCGAGCTGCGGTTGCGTTGGCCACCTGGTGCCCCTGTTACCATGGCTCCCTGTGCTTGCCATGGCAACAGGGGTAAGAGGGTGCAGCCAGGCCGACCCTGGCTGCGCCCCCACTCAACTGCGCCTGAGGCAAGTGCCTCACTTACCCCATGGTAGCTACAGCCCTGTACATACCAATATCCTTGCTAATTACTACTACCATTGAGACTACCATTAGGGTAAGAAAGGTCTGTCACCAGCACAATATGCATGTTTTCTACAATGCCATTCAAAGTTCCCGCGCACCCTGCACAACAGGTTAAAACCACTATAATCTGCGAAGATATAGTGACTGACAAGTCCCATTCTAGAGCAGCCTCCCTGTGCTGAACGCACCATCACTGCCCTCTCTCCCTGTTCCTAAGTAATAAGTATACCACGTGCTCCGCTCCTCTTCTGCCACAAACAACAACGCACATCACATGACGCTTTGCATGCTGACGTCATCAGCAGGCGCCCTGCGCTGTCAGGCCAAAACACTCCCAAATGCGACGTATGGGGGTCAATAGCGTCTCGCTGTCATGGTAACAAGAAACTTTCGGGGAGGAGTGTCGTGCAGGAAGACGTAGCTTTGGCGGGAGTCTGGAAGCATATTGCAGAGACGGGAAGTAAGTGGCGCAGTGGCGATTATCTGCCAGTGACTGTCCTCTCTACAGAGGTTGCATGGCTATACCTGTAATAGATGTTTAAATAAGTGATGCTGCAGGGGGTGGAGGCCGTGTAATGGAAGGGTCACTTGCTGGTTTCATACTGTAGTGTTCCTGTCCCAGTTATGCGGTGGGTTTACTCACACGTGTAGAAGCATTTGCGGGGAAACTTACTAATACTGGAGCAGCTGTGCATAGTAACCAATCAGCTTCTATCATCAGTCTGTTCAGTAAAGCTTTGCAAATGAAAGCTAGAATCTGATTGGCTGCCATGCCCAGCTCTTCCAAATCCTATATTCTCTATTCTTATGGTCACCACACATGTTACAATCTGACTATACAATCAACATTAGATCTAACAGCTGTCATATAACCACCTATCTAGTCTATACAATCTGCATCCAATCAGACAGACCCTTGCACTACATAGTTGTTGGTAGATCTAAAGTAAATTGTACAATCAGATTGTAAGGTGTGTGTGTGGTGAGCTTTTTAGGGTCCATTTACACCACGTGTTGGGGCTGCTCTAGCTGTTGTGAGGTGACCAGCGCAGCCACAATGCACTGCGTTGGTGTGTGCTAAAAACAAAAAAATACAGCATGCCTTAGTTTTTTTTCAGTGCAGTGGGATGCTGGCGCACAACAACCGCCTCGCACCCCGCTGTGCGCGTAGAACTGAATGAAATGTGTGATAAAGTACTAAAAAAAAAAAAGTACATCGGGATCGGCGCTATGTGTTTTGGGCAGCGGCTGGTGTGATTTGGCCCTTAGTAAATTCCTCCCATTGTGTGTGATGGCTTGGTAGAGTATGGGTTAAATCGTGAGTAGTGATGGGCATGTGAGAGGGTTCTGAGTGAATCACACCAAGAAATCCTCCAGTGTTTTGGAGAATATCTTCCACATGTAGCATAGTTGTATATTTTATAGTAAACTGCACTGTGTCCATAGTTCACTTTCCAGCAATACAGTGTGTACATGTTCTATCTATGCTTCCAGTGCCACCATGCACCTTTTGTCCCCGTGAGGTAAGGTTACCTTACCTTAGTATGTCCAGGCTGTCACCCCCGGGGCCTCTCCAGCGAGAACGCGGCCTTCCTCCGGTACCGGTAGCTGTCAGAAAGCACGGCGTCGCGTCATTACATGGCGCCCGGCTTCCTGATTGGCCGGCCAGGTGGCTCTATCTAGAGGCAGAGTCAGCTGTACCCGCCCCTCCCCCGTCCGTTCCGCCAGTCAGTGCTGGAGGATCGGACAGGGGGGGAATCCCTGCAGGGAGTGAGAGTTAAGGCTCTCTGCAGGGATAGATCGAGAAGTGAGCGAGCGACGCTATGTGTTCGCTCACTTCCCGATCTATTGAGCCGATCTGTGACAGTTTAATTGTCACAGGTCGGCTAGAACTATGAGGCTGAGTGATGTTCACTCGCCTCATAGTTCTCCTTTTAAGATGGGGCTTTACCAGTGCTTTGCAAAGTGGCAAAATGATATTTCTATCCCATGAGTAAATCCCTCTTTTATTAATACAAGATCATACACTACTGGTTTTATCAGCTGCAGCTTGCCACTGCATGCTATTGCTCAGTCTATAGTCTAGAACAGTGGTTCTCAACCTGTGTAACCTCCGGACCCACATTTGTCTTTGGTAATTTTTCTATTTTTTTAAGATCCACCCAGTCTCCCTACATTACTAGAACTGGAGTGGATCCTCTAGCCTGGGGTCCAGGGTGGGCTGCTGTGCTGTGACGGACCTCCATCCATATGCGCATTGCTTGTACAGCTCCCTTGTGTGTCCTGTAGATGCGAGGGAGCTGTAAGCAATGCACGTATAAAGGGAGCTCACTCATGGCCATACCCCCAGCCCACCCCACCTCAAGCTGACACTCGGCGCCTGGCGGCATATTTTGAATGGCTGCTTGGTGTGAGAACTGACAGTGCTGCGCTAGGAGGAGGCTGAGGAGTGTCTCACCTAGAAAAGTGGAAGGCATGTGGTGACCCGCTGAACATGGGGTTGCAACCCACTTTTGGGTCACGACCCACCAGTTGGGAACCAAAGGTCTATAAGGACCCCAAGATCCTTAAAAACCCCTCCCAGTGTGTATTCCACATGCATGCTCTTTGCTCCCAAGTGCATGACCTTACATTTTGTTTAGATTAAAGCTCATCTGCCACATCGCTGCCCTCTCTCCAATTTTATCTGATCTTGTTGCAGGGATTCTATGTTGAGAGATCTTATTTTGTATCGTCAGCAAACACCGGCAGGGGGATATTTATTCCCACCTCAATATCATTTATGAAACGGGATAAACAGAATTGGCTCCAAGGCTGAACCCTGGGGTACACCACTCACCGCTTTAGACCACTTAGAGAATGAGCCATTTATTCCTACCCTTTGGATGCGGTCCTGCAACCAGTTCTCTACCCTTGTGTATATATATATAGGTTCTTCAGTGCCAATCGACGTTAGTTTGTAAACTAACCATTTGTTGGGTGATGTATCAAAAGCCTTTGCAAAGTCTGGAAAGATTAAATCAACTGGGATTCCCCTGTCCACCTTCCAACTTACTTCCTCATAGAATGTTAACAGATTTGTCTGGTAAGAATGGCCTTTCATAAATCCGTGCTGGTTCGTACTTATGATACTGTTCTCGCATTCAAATTTTTGAATATAATCCTTGACCATTCCCGTAAGAACTTTGCATATTAATGATGTAAAGCTTACTGGCCTGTAGATGCCTGGTACACATCTTTTACCATATTTGCTTTCAATCTTCTGGTACCTCTCCCATTCTTAATGTGTTCTTAAACATTAAATGCAATGTTCTGACAATAAGACTCAGTTCTTTGGGAGCTCGTGGATTTAAGCCATCTGGTCCTGGAGATTTCATAGTGTTTATTTTTTTTTTTAAGCCTTTCTTACCTAAGCCTCTGTTAGCCACTGGGCTTCGTCTAGTCCATTATTAGAATCGTTTTCACTTTGTTTATCATACCCGTCTTGCTAATCAGTTAAAACAGAAGAGAAGAAAGTCCTCAATACCTCTGCTTTTTCCCCTGTCACTTGTAACCAGCTTTCCCTGCTCATCTTTTATGGAGCCGTCTTTACTTTTTTACTATTTATGGAATTTTTGGGGTTACTTTTACTCTCTATAGCCATTTGTTAGAGGTGCACTGAAATGGAAATTTTTAAAACGAAACCAAAATAAAAGAAATTGTCAGACCGATACCGAAAATGATCACCCGACAGTACTGGGTGAGTATTTCGGCCGGTTTGTCAGCTAGCTAAGGGTCAGGATGTAGCACGGATGTCGGGAGCTGCAGTGAGACACGTCTGCTCAGTCTCACATCCCGGCCACGCCCCTTTTATTAAATATTTAATGTATCACTTCTCCCTCCCTTTTAGATTGTAAGCCCTCAGGGGCAAGGCCCTCCTTACCATCTTGTCTTGTATTGTGATTGTAATGTCTTCCTTATATTTTAAAGCGCTGCACAAACTGTTGGCGCTATATAAATCCTGTATTATAATAATAATCTCTAGCTGGTGTTTCCACCATTTGCCTCGTTAGAGTAGACAAGTGACGTGCCTTTGATGAGCGCTTGGTTCTGTTTGGCCGATCAATATCTGGGTAACTGAAGTTCCCCATAACTATAACATTGATTTCCCTCCCCACCATCTCTGTCTGTGAGATTAGTTGAAGCTCATCCGTTTTCCTTATGGTTGGGGGTCAATAGCAAATGCCCATCGATAATGCACCATTTTTATCACTTGTGCTTATCTCTAGCCATAAGCACTCTGCAACACCCCCCGATGTCTTATTGATGTCGTTGCGCACATTTGCCATCAGATGCCATGTACATGCATGCCCCTTCTCCTTCTATTTTTTTGATCCCACCTAAAGCGGACCTTTACACTAACAAATCTAATTCTACCAATGCATCCCTCTATGTATGATGATTAATAATAACATAGACATGTCAAGTGTAAAATGCTGTGATTTTGAAATACTTACACTTGCAGAGCACTCACTTCCTGCTTTGAAAGTGCAAACGACTTCAGTTTGCCAATGCAATGCTCACTGGGATTGCCTTGTCATCAGCAGAGCATTGCTGGGAAATCTTATCTGTAATCTCGGGAGATCTCAGGGAAAGGCATTTTCCTCCCCTGAGATGATGTGCATGCTCATATGTCCTAGTCACATGTGTAGTCACATGTGCCAGAAATCCAGGAAGTAATAGGAGAGCTAGTAATCTGCCCTTAGTTAACATGGCCACTGTCAGAAGACTGGGGAAGAAAAGAGAAACAAGGTATGCAAAGAATACAAAGCCGGCAATTGTCTGGAAGTATGTGTTTGTAGATTGTCATCACTAAACATTTCTAAAAGTGTGTTGTTATTTTAAAGATATGGGTAAAGGTCTGCTTTATGTAAAATGTACCCTTCGATTATTCGCAGTCCAGTCATGGGTGCTGTCAAACCAGGTTACTGTTATTCCCACAAGGTCATACTCTTCCTTAATTAGTAAAAGCTCTATATCTTCTATTTTGTTTGCCAGACTTCTAGCATCTGTAAACATGGCTTTCATTATTCTGCTGGTGTTCAGGTTTTTATCACTATTATTTTTAGCCTTCTTATTATTGGGCTCTCTAATGGCACACTAAAGATTTCTGCCAGACTCTCTTTATTGGACGATGTTAAAGTATCTTTCCTTGTATATGTTATTGATACAGTATTGTCACCCTTTTTGCTCCTCCTACGCCTTCTCCCCTTTTCTCTGTACTCCTCTGTACTCTGTGACCTTTTTGAATTTTGCTTGCTGTCTGAGGTGGTTGTTTTTGATCCCTCCCCCCAGATCCTAGTTTAAAAGTTCCTCCTAGTCCAGGGGTCAGCAACCTTAAACACTCAAAGAGCCATTTGGACCCGTTTCCCACAGAAAAGAAAACACCGGGAGCCACAAAACCCTTTTGGCACCTAAAATGAAGATAACACTGCCTATATCGTTCTTTACCTCTGTGCTATGTATAGCATGTATATAGGTATATGTGGGCTTAGTAACGCACTGAACTCTGGGCTTACCTGAGACCCCGCAGAGCCCACCTGAGAGTGACCCTGCAGAGCACACCATAGATCCTGTACAGCCCATCTGAGACACTCTATGGGGGGCTCTGCAGGGCCTCAGGTGGGCTGGTCGCCGGGGTCTCTTTCCCTGTACCTCCTCCCAACTCCGCTTACCTGCTGCTGCGGCCTGGCCTCCTCCACCCCCTCCCATGTCACCTCTGCCTACCGCACCTGGTACAGCTGATACTCATGTAAGAGGCCCCCAGGCTGCCCAGACCCCTCACATGGGTACCGGCCGTAAAATCGTATGTGCAAGAGAACCGATCTGCCCTGGATCAGCTGTTCGGTCCTGAAATGTCACTTTCATCTGACTCTGTGAGGGCGATCTCGCATTCCACCCCACTCGCAAAGTCGGATAGAAGTGACATTTCAGGACCGAACAGCTGTTCCAGGGCAGATCAGTTCTCCTGCACATACGATTTGCGACGTCGATCTGCCCTGGAACAGCTGACAAATGCTTGGAATGCTTGACCTATTGGTGATCACACATTCCAGCACCAAAAAGATCCCCCACCACCCCCGGCTCCTCATTCGAACTCGCCCGCCAAGCCTCACAGCCAGCATCCCAGCCAGACAGTGTGCACTGCAGGGGGCGGGGCATGTGACACACGTCTCCTCTCCCGCCACCTGTTACTAGGGACCCGGCCGAGAGAGGAGATGAGTCACACGACCCACCCCCTTGCTGAGAAGCCTGTCTGCAGTGCGGGGACCCTGCACTGCCGCATTTTCCCCCGGGGGGGGTACCCAGGATCAACCTCACTGGGGCCCCCCCCCACAGCCTCAGGCCCCGTTGGTAGTTCCGCCCCTGGACAGGGAGCCGCAGCAGAGGAATGGAAGAGCCACATACGGCTCCGGAGCCGTGGGTTGCTGACCCCTGCTCTAGTCTGTTAACTATATTTCCTCCCCATTTAGGTGCAGTCCATCCCTGCTGTAGAGCCGGTGGCCGAATGAACTATTTTTGTGATTTACAGACTATTACCAGAGAGTGCAACCAGGTCCCCAACCACCATTCCCGAAGCACAGCTTGGTCAAAACTCACCGCTACTCTGCTGATTGTACAATAATGGAGCAATATCATTGTGATGAAGTCAACCAAATGTTCTCTCCTCCTGTTAATGTGTTCCCTGACAGCCTGTAACAGAGCCTGAATGGTCTAGTTTTCTACTGACTCCACTGCAGCTAAGCAATTTGGGCTGGTCCAGAACCCACCCCAGCTTATGATTGGACAGTAAAAGAGCAGCAGTACACTGAAGTCATCATTATGCTCCCCTTGTGTAAGAATGTGCTTAGGCTGAAATACAAAGCCGTAGAGGGTTGTCTTGCAGTGCTGATTCTCTGTCTTTTTCCCAGTCTTCATGCTGCTATGCAGGAGACTAATATCAAGATTGAATCATGTACTTATGCTAGTTCAATTTAAAAGTACATTTCTTTTCTTATGGATTAATAACTGCAGTTTAATCTATCTGGAAGTTGCGATCTCTTCCATGAATATATTCTAGCTTCATACTATAGTTCTGGATTTTTGCCAGGCATCTTAATTGTCACTTCCCCAGGTTACACAGTAATGTAGAAAGTCACATGTCTATAGAGTTCAATCAGGAACACATCATGATTTTGTAGTTTTGTTACTGTCAATGTCCCAATTGTTACCCCTGATTTATGGAATGCTGGATAACTCATATTAATGTATAGTCAATGCTACAACGTTTCTAAGAGCCACCTATCAGATTCAAACCTGTCACGTAAGTTTGAATTTTATTGAGGATACAAGAAGCGGAGAGATTGGGGGCTGTGTGGAAGCGTCTTCAGGAAGTACAGTAGCAGCGACCCTGTGAGTTTCTGTGCATGCATGTCATCATGGCTGTGGCGGCTGAAGGGAGCCAAGAATTGTTAGGCAAGTATTTCACAGCTCTGCAGACTAGATTAGTTATTGAGCAGCATGTGGTTAGCTTTAAAGTAGCTTGGGCTGGCAAGCTTCGGGTCTATATTCGTTTGATGTAAAACATATTGTTTTTTACTTTGATATGCTCATGTTTTAATTTATATATTTTTTTCTGCAGACCTTAAGAATGGATTTCAAGCGTAAAAAAGGGGGTTTCCCAGCCTCCCAGACCAAGAAACAAAAATCAGACTGGGATGACGATGGCCCCTCGCAGTTTGAGGAGGAACTGGCTAACCTGGATGAAATTGAAGCAGATATGGCCACAGAGATGAATGAAGCAGATATGTTGCCTGTTGGTAGGTGAAGTATTTGGTTACTGAATAGTGGGGTTGCATCACAAAAACTGTAAATAAAAGTGAAGCAACTGGTCAGGGCAACTAACAAGATTCCATGCTGTGTTGAAAGGTGAAAAATGAAAATATCCTGATATGGTAATGGTTGCAATTACAGTTAATGCTCGACTCTGTTTAAAGCCCTTGGGTAAAGGTTAGGTCAGTCCAACACTGATTACTAAGGATGAGCCTTGGGTTTGCTGCTACAGTGCGTTTGTGGTGTCGCAAATTAAGGGGTGTGGAATTCCTCTCGCCCGACGCCCTGGAAATATGCAGTTCAGGGCGTGTTTTTAATTTTTTCTACAATTAGCCCTGCTTTGTGCAAGCCACCCAGGTCACTTGTATACCAGGCTGTTTGTGTCCCCTCAAGATCCATCCTCCTCCCTTCATGCTGTGATTTTTTTTTTTTGGGGGTCACCCGTTTTTCTGGGGGACCCAGGACCACTGCGATCATTTCAGGATGGAGAGCAGGGAGCAGAGCGGAGAATGTCTGCTCTGTGACCAGTGAGACAGCAGAGCTGTACTCACAGCCTTCTTGTCTCAGCTGTCACATGTGGAGCTGTACAGAAAATGGAGCACAATACTGTGCTCGATCTCCTGTATTGGAGGGCAGGTTCCATTAAGATTAAACAACCTACTACACCGTGCTAAGGTGTAATAGTGATTATGTGTTAAGCTGCAGTACTAACAGGTGAAAATAAAGCTCAACAAAACATGAACATTAACTCAGCTCCCCGCGGACACCAAGGACGCCGGTCCCGGGCCCGTAGGAGGGGCAACGGAGCCCAGGAAGCACGGCAAGGGTGTCCGCGGCGGCCCCTTCTTCGGGACACAACAGTCGGCTCTACAAGTTTAAACAGAGTCCCGGCGGCAAAAGTCGCCGGGAGTCTGTTTAAACAGCCCCTATGCTGGCGACGTACACTGTACGTCTTCAGTCACGAAGGGGTTAATGCACTGCGCTAACCCAAGCAATAATGAAAAAAAATTGTGTGCAACCTGTATCTAGTGAAATGATTATTTCATAGATTCATATAAGTGCCCAAAAATATAAATTTTGCTTCTCATATAAGCAAACAAAACAGAATTATCATATAAGCAAACAGAAATATATATATATAACTGGATATAGTGTCCAATTGATAGTGAAAACGTCTCAAAATGTTGACAAATCCTCCAAAGCAGGGCTCTCTGTGTCCATAAAGTATGTATTGACTTTAAATAGTGCCAACTTCTTCCACCAATGTAGAACTTTACTCCACCGTGATCCAATCCCACATGACACCGGAGTTCTGGGGCTACCCTATATAGGATAAGCCATCAGGGTTTTTATCCCTGGTGTTTCTCCTCTGCTACTCACCACTGAATTAGCTTATTAACTCATGTAGCCTTCACTCACTCCTTTCTCCTCCACTCGACTGCTTAAAACCTAGGCCCAAACATAAATGTAGTTGCCTCTCGTTGTAGAGTATTTCACAACTTAGACTTTTGTTATGGATTGAAAAATCAAGGAAATGACAGTCATGTTAGAAATCCTCCGGTCAAACAAATCAAAGCATGCCAGTACCAGGAAGCGTGCGTCTACTCCACCCACCCGATGCGTTTCGTCACTACGACTTCTTCCAGAAAGAAACTAAATGTATCCAATCTTGTCAGAAATGTTTCAACTGCTACACAGACTTCCGCCTCTCTTCCTACCTGCAGGAGATTGCCAAGTGCAGGGGGCACATGGCACTGCTATTTGTTAATAGGAATTTAGAACACCTTTTTCATGTAGAGGAGAGGTGGAGGTGTTCTTTAGTCCTATGGTAGTAGCACTGCTCCTCCCCAGATAGAGTAAAGTTAATAAGAATTGTTACCCTAGGACAGGAAGTGTGCCACTGACAGGATCACTAGGTAAAAATAAAGGGAAATGGCCTAAAAACGGAGGCAACCACCATGTCTGAGGACAAGTAAGCTGCAGTGCATAGAATTTCCGGGTTTTGTATAATCTTTACCTGTGGCTTAATGCGTGTTAAAACATACTGTAGCAAATACGTACTCAAAAGCAGCATGAATTTGCTATAGTATGAATTCAGTTGTAATGTAATGAGTGCAGTTTAATGATTTGCTGCTTGAAGACCACATTGTTAATTTATTCTTTTTTGTTTTATTCTTAAATTACTTCAGTGAAACTCTCAGACAAGATTTCACCAAAATGGCTCCGACCTCCCCTTCCCAGTATTGACACTCTAAACGATTCTGTGTGTTTTCATCAGATTGAATTGGACCATTATGTGGGTAAGTTACAGATAGGTATATTCTGCTGTCTCTAATTCAAGGTGGTGATAAAATATAATAGTTAAAAGGAACCGGTCTTAGGAGAAGTAAGTAGGTTGACTCGCTGACCTGAAGATAATAGTGGCTTTTCTGTTTTGCTAATCCCCTTGACCTGGAACAGTCTTGTATATAGCAGGTCTCTGGGCACCTGGCATGTGCATGTTTGTTTTTGCCTAGTGACTTGGGAAGTTTTCGTACATAGGCACACCTGAGGCATGCTTACATGTTATCACATAAGGGCATCACAAGCTTCCAGCTCCATTCAGCAGGGAGGAGATTGGCGAACGGATGTCTACCTCCTCGCTTTCCACGCACACCCATGATGCCGGGCCCTCAGGAGGGGTAGTGGAGCCCAAGAAGCAAGGCGGGGGTAGTCACGATACTCTGTTCAACAGCCCGTGGAAGTGATCCGGCAGCAGAGGGACTTTGTCAAGGGACAAAACTCCAAAGCTGCAGCTCTTGTGGAATGTTCCCAGTCTGCAGTGATCAGGACCTACCAAAAGTGGGCCAAGGAAGTGCACTGGTGGACCATCAACAGGGTCATGGGCGGCCAAGGCTCACTGATACACGTGGCGAGTAAAGGTTGGCCTGTGTAGTCTAAACCAATAGAAGAGCTACTGTAGCTCAAATTGCTAAACAAAAGTTGATGCTGGTTTCGATAGAAAGGCGTCTGAACACAGTGCATTGCAGTTTGTTGCGTATGGGTCTGCGTAGCCGCAGACTGGTCAGCGTGTCCATGCTGACCCATGGCCACTGCCAAAAGCTCCTACAATGGGCACTTGAGCATCAGAACTGGACCACGGAGCAATGGAATAAGGTGGCCTGGTCTGATGAATCACATTTTCTTTTACATCTCGTCAGCGGTACGTTGGAAGCCTATTCAAAATGTATAGGCTACCTTACAGCAATGGATATTAATGCATGTGTGGTAATGCACCCCAACAGTGTGAATCTTGGCTATAAGCTTATTTATTACTTGTTAAGAATATGTAAGTAATTTATTGTTCATAGCCTTGAAAAGTGAGTGTTCAGGCTAGAGGCTGAACATTCAAGTGCACCTGTTCCTTTGCTCTGTTATTGAGTTTTGATAGGTCTGTGCCTGGCCTTCCTCCTTTCGTAGCAAGGTCTGGCCATGGTGAAGAAGAAAATTCTATCTAGGTTATTTGCATTCCAATATATGCTTTTTTTCTGTGAGAGTAAGACATAGCATCCAGAGGCAATGCCCCTAAACACAGGGAGAAAACACTAACTCAGTGTAGACTGGAGTTCCTAGTGGGATCTGAACCAAGGACCCCTATTTCTGTATGGCAAGAGATGCCAACAACTCTGGCCTTGCTGCCCGCACGCAGCCTGGTTTTGTGTAGAAGCCAGTTTACATACCAGCTGCTCTCAGGACAGGCTTTGTTCTGTGTAAATAAGGAAGTAGAACATTGTAGAAGATATCAAGTGTAATTAGTGCCATAGGGAAGCAATACACTTGGCAACGTTTGCCTGTTGTCCCTTTTTTCTGACCGTTTGAATCAAGTGAATGTAATGGATTGTCATGCCAAGGGAAGTGGATGGGTGAGGGGGGCCAGGAATTCCCCTGGTGATGATCTAAATTTCACCTTCACTAGAGGGCTGATAGGGAGGGGGAAACGGTGTTCTACTTTGTGTAGGTGGATAGGTCACGTATCACTTGTTTCGAATTGCTGCTGTTAACTGTGTCAAATGCCACTTTAAATTTAATTGACTCTTTACGCTTCCGGGTGTTATTGATTTTCTGAACCATAAAGCACAATCGTTTAATTATCGGTCATCTATATGATTATTTGTTTTCTGTAGTACTAATATTGTCTGTTGAAGCATGTGGTAGTATTAATTGTATAGAGCTGTTAGAGGTCTGCCGGGACCCTGTCTCTCTTTCTCCCCATCTCAACCAACAAATGGCTATGGTGCACAATGAAAGGTTTGTTTTTTATTAATAAAAGGGAAAGACTAGTGGCAGTTTTGCAGTATACTAGAAAACTTTGTATGTGATATGCTGTTCTGAGAAGGCAAATGCTTTTTATCATTCTGTTAAACTGCAACTCCAAGCAAGTATGTTTTTGGTTTTGCAAAGAATAAAGAAGGGTTAGAGCAGGGGTGGAAAACTCAGGCCCTCCAGCTGTGGTGAAACTACAAATCCCATGATGCATCTGCCTCTGCGATTCGTGCCCGTGGCTGTGAGAATCTTGCAAAGCCTCAAGGGACTTGTAGTTCCACAACAGCTGGAAGGCCGGAGTTTGCCACCCCTGGGTTAGAGCATAGATCAGGTTGTCCCGTTGTTGACTGCCATTCAGGTAGAAAGTGAGAGAAATCTCTTCATTAGGATTGCACAGAGCAGTAAAGAACCTTTTTGGAGTCCTGGCCCTTCTTTACTGTGTAAATAAAGAGTTTATATTGCTGAGTATGTCCCCATTGGAGATACTGAGACAGATTTACTAATAGAGTTTGCGAATCTTCAGTAAACGAGGCGTGTGAATATCCTTTTAATTTTCACACATCTGGATAATTTATCTGCATTCAACGTGAACAGGAATTTGCTTTTGATATATAGTTACACAGTTAGTCAGGCTGAAAAAAGATACATGTCCATCGAGTTCAACCTATAGAGATATAAAAAAAAAGAAAAGCCTAAACAGAACGCTATGCCTACAGTTACCACTGTTGATCCAGAGGAAGGCAAAAAACACCCCTTTAAAGCATGGTTGGATAAGTTGAGGGAATATTCACACATTTTTTTTTTTCCAGTGAAGTTTCTGTAGTGGAACGTTGATATTAACTCTTACATTTCATATTGTTGATAATTAGCTTATAGATTGCTATTTTTATGTGTAATCTTAATTTATTGAGAACATTTTCCAAAAAAAGGAGGAACGACAAAAAGAAAAACCCACAGCAACAGACAGTTGACATTATGCATTTATGAAGACAGCCAGTTAATAATTACATTTCAAAGACACAGAAGAGCGGCTATAGTAAATAGCATATGTGTAAGGACATAAAGCATAAACACAAATCATACAAACAAACTACATTAGAAAAACAATGATAAAACAAACTCTGTGATCCTTGGGACCCTTATCCCCCCCAAATACACCCCACCTAGATACACACCCAACCAGTATGACTGGTACAAAATAGAACACCAGAAAGCAAAAGGCTGAATTTGCCAGTGGCAAAAAAAATATATGAAGGACGTATGAAACGAACATCCAAAAGAATACAGAACAGAGAAGGTGAGAGAGAAAAGAAGTCACGGAAGCAGAGAAGAGGGGAAATAAAAGGTGGGGGCAGGGAACTAAGAAGAAAGTGGGAGAAAGGGGAACAAAATTTAAAGCAGGGAGAGAGTTCTCTCCTCTCTGTCATGGCCAAATCAGGAAAAATCGCCATATTATTTTTATTATGTAATAGTTCTAGTAGTTGCAAAACACTATACAGACATACACTGAGTGGCCAGATTATTATGACCACCCATCAGTACTTCGTTGGGCTACGAGATGACTCCACGAGATGACTTTGTTGGGCCGCCTCGTGACTCCACGAGATGTTGAAAGGTGCTGCGAGGAATCTAACACTGCACTGTTGCCCTTCTGTTGTCTTGTACCAGTCTTGCCACTCTCCGTTCTGCCCTAACATTGACTAGTCGCTGACGGCCACAATTCGCACGTTCAGACCCAGATTTTCGGCTGACAGTCCAGTCTTTAAACACTTTACCAACAGCTGCTCTTGAACATTTTAACGAATTCTGCTGTTTTGCTGACAATCGCTCCATGGCTCCGAGCGCCAACAATTATTCCACATTCAAAGGCTGCTAAATCGCGTTGTTTACCTATATCTTCAGAAAAAAATCACTTCTACTGTCGTGGTAAACAACCTGCTTCCCTATTTATAATGGTCTGGCCCTCTAGCAACTTCAGCGCGAAATTATAGCTAATTATAGCTAATTTGCCTACAAACGTCAGGTGGTCATAATAATCTGGCCACTCAGTGTATACATGGAACAGATTAACTTTAGATGTACCCTAAGAGCATTTAGGACACCCTCAGCCCCTGTCCGTCTTTGTGCTTTGGCTGAGAAAATTTCTATAGAAAGGTCTAGATCAACTTTAGAGAAATACTGCCTGCAGGAATGTCCGATTTATGGTTAGTTACAGTTATGTAGGCCTTGGCATCCAATCATCTGGTTTGTTCTGGTCATTTTGAATAAATTCTTGAGAACCCCAATGACTAAACTTTGAGGATGAAAACTTTTATCAAGAAAGCTGTTGTCGAGGAGGATTTGTATGTGGTTTGAGCATCATGGCTGCTATTACCTAAAAGTGTCCACCAGGGATGCACCAATACCGATACTAGTATCGGTGCAGATACCGAGTATTTGGGTGAGTACCCGTACTCGCCCAAAGGCTCCCATACTTCCCCCGATTCCAGAGCTTCTGGTAAGAAGGAGATTTTCCTCTGACCGACAGTGCTGTGAGGGAACATGGAGTTGGCTTCCCGGCCAATTGGCCACCCGGTTTATTGATTGGACGGGTAGCCAGCTTGATGCTGATTGGCTGGGATGATGGCCTCCCGGCCAATCAGCATCCAGCTGGCCAAACAGCATGGAGCCATGATTACCCACCGCCTGGCTTCTTCAATGACCGGGACGCCAGTTCCATGCCAGCGGAAGTATTGGTACTCTGTAATGGCGAGTACTGAAATATAAAGATCAGTTCTTTTACTCGATACCGAAAAACCGGTATCAGTGTTTCCCTAGTATACACACTTTTCTTGCTTCTCTGATAATAAATGCATATTATGTTGTTAAAAGTAATACAAGAGGCATAACTGTACAAAATGGCAAATAAAGGCAGTTGCTTAACCAATTTAAAACTAGCATGTGAGGTCAGAAGCAGGGGTGAGTTGAGGGTCATGGAGAAAAGCGAAATCGTAGCAATAGATTTGTGGACAGTGAAGGTTAGATCACCAAAGACTATTGAGCAATTGAGATGAAATCAGTGTTTGGCATGTTATGGTACATGGAACTGTAGGTGATAACTGGGACATTGACGCAAGGCACCTGTTTTATTGATATATAGTTTGTGAATGTGTGGCTAATGGAAGTTAAAGCAGATCTTTCTTGCATGGAGAATGGAGTAGGGACACTGTGGGTTGGGATGCACCAATACCGTTTTTTAAAATTATGGAGTACGAGTACCGATATTTACCTTTTTGGTATTCGCCGATAGCAGTACTTACGGAAGCATGGAGCAGGCTTCCCGGCCAATCAGGAAGTCGGGAGGCAAGTCATTACCTACCGCCCGGCTTCCTGATTGGCTGGGAAGCCGGCGTAATGCGGCTTGGCTGGGAAGCTCCATGTTCCCTCGCCCCAAATACTCGGTTTCAGTACTAGTATGGATATCGGTGCATCCCTAGTTATATGGATGTGTATGTAGCATGGAATAAGTGACAGGTTGTGGACACTGGAAGGTTCGTGGAGATGGGCAGTAATAGAAGTCATTGATATGAGGACAGTTTAAGGAGAAAATGTGAGTAATAGTTGCAGCATACCCAGGCTAGTGTAGAGAAGAAGCAGATACAGAGAAAGTAGTGAGGGCTTAAGTGTAGCAATACACAAGAAAGAAACCTATACTAATGCTAGTAATTAGGATTGTAGTGTTGGCATATGCGTATGAGAGCAAAATTCATGACTGTTGGCACAGTCCATCATTAAGAAACCAAAAGTGGCAATCCAAATTTAATAGTAATTGGGGCACACACATTTATGATTAAGGTCTGACGCACGCACTCTCTCTCTCTCACACACACAGACACACACCTGTATATTGTAGCTAAGGGTGAGCATTTCTTTCTTGAATTTAATAATAAAATATCTTGCAGGAAAACCTGTGCCTGGTATGCTGGGAGCCACGCAAGGACCAGTTCCCATAATACGGATGTTTGGAATCACAGCAGATGGCAACAGTGTATGCTGCCACATCCATGGCTTTGCTCCTTACTTCTACGTACCCTGCCAGGCTGGTAAGTGCTTTGGAAATATAACATAGTCTTGGGACAAAACTGTTGGTCCATTCACTTTGTCATTCCTTTTTAGGGCCGGTTCACACCACAAAGACTGTGTTACAGACCGTTCGGCATCGCAGCCACGCCCCACTCCTGCAGTGCGATCGCCTTCCAGTCCAGTACGATCTGGAAAAATAGTGCTTGACTTCAATGCACCGCCATGCCCCTAAACGCAGGGAGCCGGCCGGCTTGCGTTCCAGTGCTTTCCTGAGGCCGACCGCTTTGGAACGCAAACTTTGTGGTGTGACTGGGCCCTTAGTCTGTTGATTTTTGCAAAATACACTTGTATTGAGGGAAGCATGTAGACTGACAAACTCCTTCTGGAATTTCTAGTTACTTGGATGGCTGTGGCCACAATGCATTGGGTCACTGACCTATGATGAGCATATAGCAAAAGATTTGGCTGAAGTTGCACTTTACATTTATTTATATATATATTCAGATATTTATATAGTGCCGACCGTTTATGCAGCGCTTTACATACTACACATTCTTATCAGTCGCTGACCTCCAAGGAGCCTACAATCTAAGGTCCCTATTGCACATATATATTAGGGCCAATTTAGACCGGAGCCAATTAACCTTCCAGCGTGTCTTAGGAGTGTGGAAGGAAACTGGAAGAGAACATGCAAACTCCTTGCATGGAGTGTCCTGACCTGGATATGAACCAGGGACCCCAGTGCTGCAAAGCAGAAGTGTAACCACTAAGCCACTGTATATCATTAATTTATTCCATTGTAATGGTTTTTGTTTTTTGCAGGTTTTAAGCAGGAACATTTAGGTGAATTCAAAAAAGTGCTGAACAATGCTGTGATCAAGGACATGCGCTCTAATAAAGACAACATTTCACAGGCTGTCCTGGCTGTTGACATCTGTATGAAAGAAAGTAGGTATTTCCTTTCTGCTTGTCTACCTGACTGTATATTTCTTTCAAGCAATTTGTTGCCTATTTGTACTAATGTCTCTGCTAATATCACTACTAAAGCAGTCCTACAGTATAATCACAGAGCTCCTGTGAAGAGGATCATGTGGTTAGAGGTTGCATTGACATTGAAAACCAAATAACAATCATGCTCTTTGTGGCTGTGCTGGGGTATTTTGAGCACAGATAAAAGTAAATAGAGAAATAAAGAGTAGCTGATAATTGCTCTAGCAACTGACACCCTAAAATAGATTATGTGCCTGCCTTCTTCACTATATTATACTGATTGGCAGCATAGTTTACTCGGGACAGTATGGTAAAACTCATGTTGCATTTTGGAACCAGGCCTTTTTCTGGTTCAGACCAATTTGATTTTAACCGAGATAGATATGTAGCTGAAGTAGCTTTGTTTAAAATCCTTTCTGTGAGTATGACATCAGGGGTATGCGATTCCTATCACCCGACACCTGGGACATGCCGTTCTGGGTGCCGGGCAGGTGTTTTATTTTTTTCTCTACATTTAGTCCTGCCTGTGGGTAAGCGGGGCTAAATGTAGAGCTGGGATGCCACTGCTAGTTTTCTAGAAGTCATATGTGCGACTGTGTTGCAGCCTGCTTGTAGCCCTCCCGGCTGTGGTTTTTGGGGTCCCCCACTCTTCTGGAGGACTCGGAACCATAGTAAATTAGTTTAGAATGGAGTGGAGGAAGCAGAGCGGAGAACGTCCGTTCTCCGTTTGCTCTCTGCAATCAGTGAAACAGGAGCACTGTACTCACAGCGCTTCCTGTCTCAGCTGTCACAAGTTGGGCTACACGGGAAATCAAGCATAATTCTGTGCTCGGTCTTCTGCATTGGAAGGCAGGGGAGACACCTGGGGTCTAATATACCCTAGATCCTTGGTTCTCAACTGGTGGGTCGTGACCCAAAGGTAGGTCGCGACCCCATGTCCTGTGGGTCGCCAGATGCCTTCCACTTTTCTAGGTGAGAGAATCCTCAGCCTCCCCCTAGAGAAGCACTGTCAGTTCTCGCATCGAGAACTGATTAAAAAATATGATGCCCGGTGCCGACTGATGACTTGAGGTGGGGCTATGGCCGCAAGGGAGTTCCATTCATAAGTGCATTGCTTACAGCTCATCACATTCTGGCTCCCGCCACCTCGAGGGGTGCGCACGAGAGCTTTACAAGCAATACACATATGAATGGAGCACCATCACAGCACAGCAGACCACACTGGACCCCAGGTTGAGGATCCACTTCAATTTCCGTAATGGCAACCCTCCCACCCACAGTTCGATCGCCTGCACCGGAAAGCACAGTACCACAACATGGAACATTGCAGTGCAACTTGGGTCGCAACTTAATGACCAAGGACAAATGTGGGTCCTGAGGTTACCCAGGTTGAGAACCACTGCCCTAGATGTCTCCATAAAGAGAACCTGTCCCCTCCAAACACTATCGCATAGGAGCTTGTTAACCCCTGTGTGATCGCAATAAAGTTACGTGAAATAAAAAAGTAGAAAGCATGCGTATGACATCGTGTGTGCTGCCCCTATTCCACTGTGTTCAATATTGTGGTAGCCAGGCAGTAGCACTCTATAACACGTACAATGTACATTAAAGGGTAAGTTCTCTTTCCCAAGTAATTTGGGGAATTAACCTTTTGTGAATCGTCCTTCACTTCCACTCGTAGAAGTGTGCTATCTGTATCCCATACTGACGTCCAGCACAGCCCTGTGCTATGGATTGTGAATTTTGCTTGCAAACTGCGAGCACTCATTGGTCACTGACTAATGAGAAGTGCTTCTTAGCATGGTTAAATATGGTTTAGGTTAAAATAATTTCTTTTAAGGCCTTGAGTTTTTTTTGGCAGAAGCGGCATTCAAAAAGTATTTTGTCACAAAAAATGTTTCCTCTGGCCCCTAAATGTTTTTTTTTGTGTGTACACTGAATGCCTTGAATCAGGGGTCAGGTGCCGTGAACCATGTAACCCCAGCACACATATGCAGAAGTTACATCATCACTTGCCATCCAGAGACCAAAGAGGATCATCACGGGACCTGGAAGAAGTTGGTGACAGCGCACCAACAGGAACCTGGACCTGTCATCGCTAGAGGGAGGGCACTGTATGTTAAGCGTGCCACAATCTGCAACACTGCTGTTCAGAACACTTAGTTTTGCTCTAATAAAATCAATGGGCAGAAGATAGCTTCTGAAAGAATGGAATAATGGCGGTGTGTTTGGTTTCATTACAGACATGTATGGATACCATGGGAAGCGGAGTATACCTTTTCTGAAGATCACTATGGCCCTTCCACGCCTAATTGCGCCTGCCAAACGTCTTTTAGAACAGGGTTTGCAGTTTGGGAGCTTCCCAACACATTGCTACCAGGCCTATGAAGCCAACATTGACTTTGAAATCAGGTACCCACTAATAATGACTAATCTACAAATGTGATATGCATGCTTTTCAGCCAGAGATCAGTTGATGCCTGTATATGTATCTCACGCTCACATATATTTATATATTTTTCTGTGTGTACGGGAAATGAACCCAATTACTTTGGTTTGTAGCTAGCCATTTTTCTTTTATATTTTATATTTTTTTTACAAGTCACCATTAAATATCGTATTCAGGGCTTGTTCACACCAAATTCTGACCAGATGCACATGCACTGAGGTGTGTTTTGCTGCGTTTTTGCATCGTTCCGGGGTGTTATAACAAAATAAAATAAAATTGTTGATTTTTTTTTTTTGAAGCCTAAAATGTGCTTTCAATGCGCTCTGGGGAGTTTGCATGCGTTTTGGTGCATTCCAGAGCAGAAAAAGTAGAGCATGCTGCAGATTTTCCACATGCACTGGAACTGAACACTGTGGTGTGAACTAGAGCCCAAAATGCAGTTGGAATTACATTGGATGCATTTTTGATGCGTTCTGTAACAGCTCTGGTCTGCTTCTGCTCTGGACTTGGTGTGAACAGACCCTTAAAGCTGAGCTCAAGTCAACTTACAGTTAATGACATATTCCCACGTTACGCCCCCTCCTTCACCCCTTCTTTCTGCATGTTCTAATACTCCTTTAGTCTAGGAGGGATGTAATAGAGAGAATTACTTGCCTTAATAGCCAGTCCCACAGGCTTCCTCCCCACCGGTTCTGGACACTGCTGATCCTGCATTGTCTGTAATAATGTATATAAACTGCTCTCATTCTGGCGCTGAAGCAGGAATAAATGCCTGTTGCCACAAGACTAAAGTGATTGTCAAGTATTTCTTTCTGCTGGACTACCCTAAACTAAGGAAGTACTGGATCCTGCATGTACAGCAGGGGATGAGTAAAGTTATATATAGAGATTATCTAAGAGAGAGAGAGAGAGGGAGATCTATCTATATAATTTGTAAATGGGTAAGCCGTATTAGTCCAGTTTACAAGATGTAAAACAAAAACGTAGTATTGCAGTGTGCAATGATACCTTTCTTATTGGACTAACAAAATAAATTAAAAAGACAAGCTTTCAAGAGTGGACCTCTCTTCTTCAGGTCAGAAGCAATACTAATAATAATAATAATATATATAATTCTTATCTACAATAAATCTATTTTTTTCTTTTAATACATTGGATTTATTTGAAAATACAGTTGATCCTGCCAGTGATTTCCTCTAGCTTGTTAGCGCTGGCAACAATCTATGGGCTCATCTACCCTCTTGTGCATTGCTACTGCTTTTGTGCACGCCCTGCATCAGGGGTGGCCAAACATTGGTCCAGCTGTGGTGGAACTACAAATCCCATGAGGCATTGCAACATTCTCACAGACATGATTTCCAGAGAGAGATGCATCATGGGATTTGTAGTTTCACCACAGCTGGAGGACCAGTGTTTGGCTACCCCTGCTCTGGATCAAAAAAAAACAAACAGTGTTTATTGCTTTCTGTGCGGTGGATGGGACCTACAGTATCTGCCATGACGTGATTTGCAAAGACAGGAGGAGCCACTGTTGGTCAAACACTCTTATCTGCCCCTCAGGCAGTTCTTCTAGTCATATAGTTAGCAGGACGTCTTACGAGGTGGGAAGGAGTGTTTGATTGAAATTAGGTTAAATTGGCTTTGACTGAAATTGGCTGCTTCCGTCACTGCAATTCACGGCAGGACAGACTGATCCCTCCTACTGCCCCCTGCCATTCAGATCAGAGAAAGAACAAGATGGTTACCTGACCTGGAAAAAAAAGATTAATAAGGATTTTTTTTATAAATTGCTCTCTGATTTGGGTGGAAATTCCCAACCTAGATTTGTGAAAAGAGGCATTTAGGTTTTACAACCTAAACTTAACTTTTTATAAAATAGAACCAGTAAGTTTTTTTTTTTGTTTTTTTTTAATTATAGGCAAATTAGGGAAAGAGGCATTGTTTAATTTTGATTACTTTGCATCTATCAGCAATAAATGGACTGAACACAGATTTTTAGGTATGAAGTATCTTTATTCAAGTTAAAACTACATAACAGTGCCATAATCAGCCATTACACCTTTTGCAAAAATTGCTTAATTATTAGCATTTGTTTATAAAGATTTTCTGTACCTGGGAGGGAGCATTCTGTCTGTTGTAGGTGAAGATTGTAGGGCAAGCTGGGACCAGGCAGCAGTCTGCTTTATGTATATGAAGTACTTCAATTGCATATTGATTTTTGCTTTATGAAATAATCCTAATGAAGCAAGCAGACTTTGCACATAAAGACTCAACATAAAGAGTTATTACAGTTATAATGGAAAACTGGTCGACCTAATCACTTGTCACCTTCTTAGAGTTGTATATATTTTTGGGAATAAACAGTAATGATATTTGTCTTCCATTTTTCATGGCTGTGTCCGCCCTCTTGGATAATGTGGGTTTTTCTTCTGGTACAGTTTAAAAAAAAAAAATCCCTTACAGTTGACAGGTGTGTAGCACTGGGGAGATCTCATCACTATTGTCGACGATATCTGAAATCCCCATTGCTTGCAGCTTTGATATATTGAAGTCATTTTGTGCAAATACTAAAGATTAACCTTATACATATCCTAATGATACCTTTTTATAATACTGTACCTAATCAGGTCTGGACAAAGCCAAGTGCCAGATCTGATTTTGTCAGTCCTTAGGACCTGTTTTTTTTTATGCTCTCACTGCTGACCAACCGTCCTTGAACACTTGGCTTGAACATGCATTCTCCAAGTGGTATGTGTTTTATCTGACATTTCTGTATTAAACAGTTACAGAACAAGAAATCCCTGGTAAAAACTTAGACATATGAGATGCAAATCCTAAAGAATAGTGCCAGATTGTGCAAATGTAGTGAACTTTTTAAAATCTCTTAGTTCTGTGTCAATATGCAGAAAATCTCCTCCAGCAAACCCAGGAACCAGAATAATGAATTGTTAGTCTATGAATCATGACTTTATTTTTCATTGGGGATGAAGGAAAGGAGTTATGTGACATTCAGTATTTCTAGGATGGGTTTGATTGCAGTTGGCACTGCAGGTCATATAATTTATACATACACAGCAACTTCTAATGGCTGAAATGGAGACTTATTGTAGGGGATAAAGGGATGCCAGGTTTGATCTGTTTCTCTATGACTCGGAGTTGCCTGCAGTGATATGCACAGAAGAAGAGGGAGCCACACAGCCGTGCTAATTATCTATCCATTTTGTGTCTCAGGAACTGTTTAGGCCAAGTGGACCACAAAAACACTTTTCACACAAAGAAGGCTGATATTCATGTAAAACTGCACTTTTTTTTTCTAAAGATAAAGCACTGTTTCCTGGATTTCTTTTGTAATAAGAAAAACAACAACAAAACCCTGTCTGAGTTGCTTACAATCGTCCAGTTGTTTCTCGTATTGGCCGTGAAGGTTCTCATTCATCCAGGTCATGGTATATCTGTAAAAAATAAAAAACACCTAGCTCCAATTATGCAAATTAAATCAACACCTGGTTGTGACTAACAGTTTATGGGGATTGGAACAACATTGTTCCATACCATATTTATTCCCAGATAATTTTTGTACAAGTCATTCTGAATTGAGAAAGCTGGTTGTATGACCAATGAAACCTCTTCAAGAAAAATACAGCATGTCCAGTTGCCTTGACTTATTTTTTTACAGATATTCTTGTATTGGGCAATCTAGAATTAATAATTTGCTTGAAGGCAGGTTGAAATTTGTGTACAATGGTCTATCTATTATCCTGCTCCCAAAAATAGAACAAAAAAAAGCTTGCACTGTGATCAATGCTGTACAGGCTTTTATGGCAAAATGACATCCCCAGCGTCGCTAGCCATGATAATATTTTTGGCCCAATAAAGTTTGCTGATTCTTCAGTATAGCTAATCAGAATCCATCAGGTAGTTCTCTGAATCAGAATGAATTTTCTTTAGTTGCACTTAAGAATATGTCTTAAATGAATAAGCCAGTTAATAGCAAACTCAAAATGTAATTCTCTTTTCCAGGTTTATGGTGGACAATGATATTGTTGGTTGTAACTGGATTGAACTCCCAGCTGGCAAATACCGAATTCGTAAAGAATCCCAGGGAGACGAGCTGGCTAAAGACAATGCTATCAAGGTGAGCATCGGATAGTGTACTCGGTTACATCTTTTTGGATCTATTGGTTCTCTAATCTAGATTTGTTTTTCCTTCAGGTGTCTCTTGCTCAGCTGGAGGTTGATATCAGCTGGGCAGACATTAAAAGTCACCCTGCTGAGGGTGAGTGGCAGAAGATTGCCCCTCTTCGGGTGCTCAGTTTTGATATAGAATGTGCAGGGAGGAAAGGTAATGCACTTTTCAGCAAGTTCTTCCCTAGTAATTATTAATGCAATTATTTAAGTTCTAATTTTGTTCTTTTTTTTTTGTTCCTTAGGCGTGTTTCCAGAGGCAGATAAAGACCCTGTTATTCAGATAGCTAACATGGTTCTAAGGCAAGGGGAGAAAGACCCTTTTATCCGCAATGTTTTCACCTTGGGCACCTGCGCCAGTATAGTTGGCTCTAAAGTGCTTTGCTTTGAAAAGGAACAAGAACTATTAAAAGTAGGTTGGTTCCACAGAGCAGCCATCATGTGCAGGGTGCAGTAAACCCATCATAGTAGAGTTAATTGGTGGTGAATTGGCAAAATATGAATTCCAACCTTTTGCTGTGGGATATTGCACCTTGCAAGTTGTTTTTTACTTGAAGGTTTTGCTGTAATGGTTTTTGGTCAATTTTATATTCCTTTTTTTTTTTACTGTAACAAGGACACTCCACTGTAGTCCAGGTAAGTCAAGTATAATGCAGTTTATTAAAGGGCAAACACAAAATAGCTTGCAGCAGCGACATAAGACAGTCCTTTATATGGCTCAGTAGCTCCCCACAGCTTCAAGATACTCACGCTGCTCACCCCTCGTGAGCCCTCACTCTGCTCTCTTAGCTGTCTGTACCACAGATCCTAGGGTCACCGACCTTCCTGACCTCTCCCCTCGTGGGCACTCACTCTGCTCTCTTAGCAGTCTGTACCACAGGTCCTAGGGTCACCGACCTTCCTGACCTCTTCCCTCGTGGGCACTCGCTCTGCTCTCCCAGCAGTGCGTCCGACAGGTCCCTGGGGTCACCGACCTTCCTGACCTCTCCCAGCCACCCCTGGCTGATCCGTGTGGGTCCAGCACGCACCCGAGTTTGTCTGTGTGCTCCCCCACAACTCCAACACTCCTCTGAGCACTGGGCTGGCTTCCTAATAAGGCTGCTCTCAGCCACCTGATCAGCCCAGGCTGGATATGGGCAACACCTGGCCCCACCAGGACTGGAGATCTCATCCCACCCAGAGCTCTACGAAATCTCCAGAGCTCCAGATCCCAGCTACAATTAGGAAAACCTGGACGGACCTGAAAAGCCATGTTCTTCCTTATAACATGTTTCACATTCTGGACCCTCTCAGCCCCTTTGGCTGAGAGTCCTGTGTACCAAAGTCGCCATACTACACCGTGGCATTGGATGGTGTAGTATGACATGGATGAGCGTGTTTCATTTCAGACTCTCTTTTTGATGGATAGTTTTGTGGTCAGTGGACTTAAAGGAAGGATTGAGAAGGATGCCTCACTGCTCGATCAGTTATAGTATGTATCAGCTTAAAGGGGTTCTAAACCCTCTGGTTTTTTTGCCTATATCTACTGCTAGCATGCAGTAGATATAGGCAAGAAGTGTAAAAAAAACGCTTAAAATCCTTTTAAACTTACCTCGTTATCGCTGCTCGTTCCCGCGCCGAGAATCAGGAACCGATTCTCGGCCGGGAGACGAGCAGAGACGCAAGGTAAGTCTATGGACGCGTGCACCCGCCTGCAGACACCGCTGGATCGGAGAGACAGAGCAGTCAGCGCTGGATCGGAGTGACGTCACACCGCTGGAGGGACACATGAAAACATGGGGAAAGAAGAGGAAGATCGGAAAAAGACATAATTTAAGGTAAGTGCTAACATTTACATTGGGGGGAGGGAAACATTTTTTTGCCTTTTAATGTCACTTTAACTACTAAACTCTGTAAATGGGCTAGGGGAGCCTGGGAAATGTAAGAGGCTCACTAGTTGCATGAATCCAAAAATATTAACATGCAGAGTTTCATATTTATCTGACAAGAAAAAAAAAATATTTAGACCTTTTTTTTTAGCCCTAAATCATAATAAAGAAAAAATATATATGAAAAACAGCACTACATTTCATAATGCATACAGTAAAGTTGTCTTTGAAGAGTAGATACAATTTGCCACAAAGCTGAATCTGCTAGTAGAGTATTAGTACTCGCCTGTCCCACTAAACTCTTCAAAAAGACCACGCTACACTGAAATGTTAGCAAACTGCTCTTCTTGGCAAGCTCCACATGTATGCGTAGGCGATATAATAATTATGCGTAGGCGATATAATAAAGTAGGAAAAAAACAGAGCACACTGAATAGCACAGATAAACACATTTTTCAATCATTAAAAAATATGTAAAATGTGCTTACAAAATAGTGACTTGATCAGAGCATATCTTACAGTGGGCCTTTGACTAAAAATCTCATCAGTATACAGCTCTTCGTGCTGATATGAAATCATCCTTATAATTATTAGCTGAACAAACATATTATTAGTTTACTTGCAATTTCTTTTTTTCTCACTTCTTGGTCTAATTTTGTACAAGTGATGTAAATGTGCCCAAGCATTGCTTCCTGGGAAGGTTACATCAGTAGAGTATTGCTGGGAAATCTCATCTGTAATCTCTCAAGATCTCAAGGAAAGACATTTTCCTCCCCTGAGATGATGTGCATGGTCACATTTCTTAGTCACATGAGCCAGAGTTCCAGAAAGTAAAGGGTGATCTAGTAACCTGCCCTTAGCTAAAATGGCCACTGTCAGAAGACTGGGGAAGAAAATAAAAATAAGGAATGCAAAGAATAAAAAGCCGGCAATTATCTAGAAGGATGTGATTGTAGATTGTCATTTCTAAAGGTGCCTTTGTTTTTGTTATTTTGAAAAATATGGGTAAAGTTCCTCTTTACAGCAGGAATCTTCCCTCTGACATCAGGTCCTTAATTAATGCATATTTCCCCCTTTTCTGTCTCTCAAAAAATACTGAAAGTACAGAATACTTGTTGATCCTGCTAGCATTTCAATTAGCTCTTATCTTCCTGTGTGAGCTGACTATGCATTTGGTGCACCAGAATTTCAATGGATGTTATCAGCCCTACATGAGATCAGTTAAAGGATAGGTTCACTTTCTCACAAAATGCAAAAAAAATGAACTTGCTGTCAGCACCTCTCCAACAGCCCTGACACCCCATAAAGGCTGCACTTGCATGTCTGAAGTTCCCGGCAAGCCGCTGTAGTGGTCTGTAACACCGTACACTGGACTTCCCAGCCCAGCAATATGAGATGCTCATTATGCTCTCAAATGGTGAGCGCTCATTGGTCAGCATGGTCACATACTGCGGGGCTGGGAGGTCTGGTGTACGGATCACTGCACTAGCTGGCCAGGACTTCAGACATGTAAGTGCAGCGGAGGGAGGTGGCAGGGTGCTGTTTGGGATAAAGTGAACTTCTTTCTTTACATTTGGGGTGAGGTGAAGGTGTTCTGTAGTCAAATAGAGAAGAACTGGGCCTGGCTGACAACACTGCTTGGAATTTTATTGCAACATAGGATTTCTGGCAGATCAGCAGGTATTTTTCTGTACTTGAAGTGATTAAGAGAGAAAATATGGGGACATTTGCATGTACAATATTGCAGAGATGTACTGAATCATTTTTTTTATTTTTCCTTTCAGACGTGGGCTTTATTGACTGTAATTTGTTAACCTTCTAACACTGTGTAACGGAATGTGTGTGTTTTTTTTTTTT